AGGTACTATAAATATAAACTTTCAATGTATAAAAAAATAGAAAAGAACATACAAATTAACAAATTTTAACCAAAGAAAATAAATAAATAAATACAAAACTTCAAATTTACTTAAAAACGTCAACCAGCGAAATGTAATTTTTTTATTTTTCCTTACACACGCTCATTTTTATTTTTACTCTCCCGAAAACTTTGACTTTTGTAGGTTTGATGTCAATTTGGCTTCTACCTGTTTTTATTGTACGCGTTTAGCCCCCTTAAGAACCGTTTTGAAAATTTTTCAAATCGAACAAAAACTACTCCCCCTAAAATATAGCTAGCTTTGAGTTTTTTGAAATTACCCTTACGCGGGTAGAGCGCGTGGTTCTTGTCAGATTTCAAAAAATTTCAAGCCGGTGCTTAAGGAGCCAAAACAAAATGTGCACTTCAAATAACACCAACTGGCTTAAATATAAAAAGTACATCAGTAGTCACCTTAAATTAAACGCTGCGAGGGTGATAGACTCCTTTGTTGAAAATTTTAAAGAAACACTTACTTCAGTCGCTGGCCTGGCAACACCAAATCAAGTCCAAGTACCACCTACGCCTACATCAGTTACAAATACTGAAATAGAAAAAATTGCGGCCGAAAAGCGGCGCCTAAGAAGACAGTGGCAGAGCCATCGCTGACCAACCTCAAAGCTACTGTATAAAGCTGCAGGAGAAAACTGAAACAAGCACTTAAACGTGCAGAGGATCGCAACTTGCAAACGTACATCAAGAAGCTTTCCCCGAATTCTACTGCAAGATGCTCTCTATGGAAATCGCTAAAATACTTCAAACTTCCAGTGGCTACGGAAATGCCAATCAGGAACCAAAGTGGTACCTGGGCTCGTAGGAGTAGGAGAGAGCCGAGTGTTTTTCACACCATTTAAAGAATGTGTTTCAGCCAAACTGCCCAACGAACAACGTCGGGCTGCCACGGCTAACCAAAAATACAAATGAGCTATACACACTTAGCAAGAAGAACTCTTTAGAAGTAAAAGTTATAGTAAAGCAGCTTAATCCAAAGAAATCGCTGGGTGCTGATTTTACAACTCCGAAAATGCTAATAGAGGTACCGAATATTGCACTAGCAATTCTTCAATCTTGACCTTTTCAACGCTATCCTCAAATTCGGTTACTTTCCGAAATCATGGAAAAGGTCGAAGATAGCCAAACCTGGAAAAGACGCAACACAGCCGTCCTCATACAGACCAATAAGCTTACTTCCCTGTACTCCTCTCGAAGATATCTCCCTTTCTCCATGCAATTAATACCAGCACACCAATTTGGCTTCCGAGAAAAACATGGTACAACTGAACAAGTTAGTCGAATTACAAATGAAATCAGAAGGGCATTTGAACTTAGAGAGTAATGCTCTGCAATTTTTCTCGAAGTGGCACAAGCATTCGACAAAGTGTGGCACGACGGTCTTATATATAAAATTAAAAAATTGTTACCGCCGAAATTCCACAAAACTTTTGAATCACACATAACTAACAGAAAATTCGCTGTCAAATTATCTAATTCCACTTCAGAAGACATGGTCGAAAACGGCTGGCGTTCCACAAGGTAGTGTACTCGGGCCTATGCTGTATATCATCTACACTTCAGATATTCCAACTAGCAAGGATATACTAACATCCACCTTCGCTGATGATACCGCCTTAGTTAGTCGTAATAAATATCCCAATAGAGCTTCAAGAGTACCAGAGGAACATTTACTACGCATAGAAGAATGGCTGGCAAACTGGCACATAAAAGTCAACGAACAGAAGTGTAAACATACAACATCAAATTAAATAATGTCCATATTCCACAAGCCAACGACGTGACATATCTAGGAATACACTTGGATAGAAGACTAACTTGGCGCAAACCCATATCAACCAAGATTACACAAATGAAGCTTAAGTCAGCTAGCGTGAACTGGCTTATAAACAGTAAATCAAAACTGAAACTAGATCATAAAGTACTTATATAACTTATCTTTCTTCTTTATTGGCGCTGTAACCGCCTAAGCGATTTTGGCCGAGTCCAAAACAGCACGCCAGTCAATACTCGTCTGTGCTAACTGCCGCCAATTGGAAATGCCAAATGAAGCCAAGTCCTTCTCCAAGCGAAGCCACGTCTTTCCAACGCAAAAGAGGTCTTCCTCTTGCTCTGTTACCAGCATCGCGACCCGCGTTGAATATTTGAAGAGCAGGAGCGTTTCTGTCCATTCGAACGACATGGCCAAGCCAACGGAGCCGCTGAATTTTAATTCGCTGCACTTATATATAATACAGTCATGAAGCCTATATGGATGTATGGTATTCAACTGTGGGGTACGACCTGTGCAACCAACATTGACAGGATCCAAAGATTCCAATCTAAAACGCTAAGGGGCTTAACGGGAGCGCCGTGATATGTCCGCAATGAAAATATACATAGGGATGGTGTACCGATGGTTAAATCTGTAATCGACTGCAGCAGAAAAGAATATAAAATAAAACTGCGTAACCACCCAAATCCACTGGCAAGTGGCCTGTGCAACACAACAAATATGACACGCCTGCGAAGAAGAGATCTAGCAGCCTTTTGTTGAGCGACGTTAAACCAGCAGGGCTCAACCCCAGGGTTTGAGCTATATTATTGTAAATTGGACGTAAGATTTTTAAACTTGTTGTTAGGCTTAATAGATGTACAATAAGCAGATTCATCAAATAAATGCACGTATAACCAAAAAAAAGTTTTGTCGAGTTCGGTGAAGTAGTTTTTGAGATACCACATATAAGTGGTTGGTGCTACGCCTATATTCCTAAAATTTTACGAAAAACCCATTTTTTGCTAATGAGCCGTCGTATATATCAATTTTGAGTAAATATTGATGAATTCCTTTAAAGTGAAAGTACATAACATGCATTGCGTCGCCGTCACCGTCACCGTCACTGGCAGTAGTCAAAAAAGTTGAATCGGTTTATTTGTATGAAGTAAGTTACATGTACAAAGCTGACGGAGTCGGTGACGCACAACTTAGCTAAACTTTCAACTTGCCTATGCATTTGCGTCAAGTGACAACTATTCAGTGTTTTGTTTACATGTTTGAACGTAAATTTTTCCAGTTTGTGAAAATTTTTAGATTTATGGAAAAATGAAATTTAAAAGATGATGGAGGAAAATGTATAGAAGAAGTGGAGGGGTAAAACGCCAAATTTGGCAAATATTAGCAACGAGTTTATGATTTTTCGGACGCAACGTCAAACGGTTAGTGTGTAACTTGACGCAACAAGGGCCAGTAATCAGCGGTTGTGCTGCTGAGTTGGGCGAACGTTCCAAAAGCTGCTATTCAGTCGCTTGTTTTGTATGGAAAAAGGTCTCACATGCAAATGGATTTTAACAATTCAGAATTTTTGTGAGAAAAATATTTGACATTTTCGAGACCAAATAATTTGAAAATAAATCAAATCATGATACTACCTGTTCAATGTACCTTGGTTCAGAGCAAGGCACATTAAACAGGTAGTATCAGTAGAGCAAAAACAACATTTGCGTGTATTTTGTTGTTGCTTCTGGTATCGAAAGTGTCAAAAACTGTTCTGAATTTTTTCTTCTAAATCAAAGCGTGCCATGTGAAATACAAAAAATTATAAAAAATAAAAAATTGAAATTGGAAAAAAATAAAAATTGATGCAACTTTCTTTCCTAGTAAATTTGTTTGCTTCTCGAAGCATTGATCCATCCTTTGCAAGGCCCAGTAATCAGCGGTCGTGCTGCCGAGTTGGGCGAACGTTCCAAAAGCTGCTATTCAATCGCTTGTTTTGTATGGAAAAAGGTTTCACAAGCAAATGGATTTTAACAATTCAGAATTTTTGTGAGAAAAAATTAAAAATATTTGACATTTTCGAGACCAAATAATTTGAAAATAAATCAAATCAGCTGCTCTACTGATACTACCTGTTCAATGTACCTTGGTTCAGAGTAAATTTGAAATACACTCGAAATGGGTTCGAAAAAAAATTAAAACCATAGTAACAAGAGAGAAAGTGAAATCCGGCTCATTCTCGAAGGAAAATATAAGACAATCGCTCTCTCACAATAAAATTTCAACTCGATAATGGGCTGGATTTCGAATTCATAACGAAGGGAAAATACATTGGATAACGAAGGTGCCGTTTTGCTGGAGAATGGCTTAGTTCTCGAATCGAATACTAACCTATTGCACATTCGTTATCGAAGATAAGACTCGAAAAAAAGATTGGTTTTCCAATCATTTTCGAATAGCTAACCAAGCCTAATGTTTATTGGGTACTTAAATTGCTTAACTTCGACAATTTGTACGCATTTGCATAAGGTGAAGTATCAATTTTTTCGAAAATAAATATACGTTTAGATAAATACTACGTATTTGGTCACTTTCATAGACATTTTTGAAATTAGAGATGGTCAAAGTGGAAAAAAATTAAGAAAAACTGTTTTTTTTTTTTTTAATTTTACCCCGACTATATCTAATAATAAAACGGTTCTCAACATTTTAAAGTTCTATAAATCGCCTTTTCAAAACATGTCTGATTTTTAAAATCGGATGAAAAATAGTCAGGCTTTTAATGATAAGTTCATCAAGTATGAAAATAACGGTATTTTTAAATAAAGTAAAAATGGAGGGTATAGGGTAGTGTGTATATTATTATTAAAAATGGAGCGTTCAGGAACTATAAGAAACCTATTTTCATGTTGTACTCGACCATACCTACAACCTACACTTAGTTTTGTTTCGGCTGTATTTCGTGATTTTTATTTTTATTTTTTTATGTTTATAAGCTTTGTTTGTTCAACAACTAATTTTACATTCATTGTTCGTTTTGAAAAATCCCGCAAATAAATAATTTATAATTGCTTCTATTTAAAACCCTATATTAACTGTTATTTGCTTATTTTAGAGAAATAGCAATATATGTATGTAAATGTATATTTTTTTATTTGAAGATTTCAAATTAACTTTTATATTTTGATTATTATAATTTATCATATAGAACTAGTATGATGGAAGGTTCTGGTTCATTGGAACAGCAACTGGAAGCTCTTCGTATCAAGGCTACAGAAGTAAGAGCCCGTCGTGTTGACTTAAAGAAAATTGAAGAATTGGGAGCATTACTAGAAGAACATTTGATATTGGACAATCGCTACACAGAACATTCAACTGTTGGGCTGGCCCAGCAATGGGATCAGCTTGACCAACTATCAATGCGTATGCAACACAACTTAGAGCAACAGATACAGGCGCGTAATCACTCTGGAGTGTCAGAGGACTCACTGAAGGAATTCTCAATGATGTTCAAGCACTTTGATAAAGACAAGAGTGGCAAATTGAATCACCAAGAATTTAAATCGTGTCTGCGTGCACTCGGCTACGATCTGCCTATGGTGGAGGAAGGTCAACCTGACCCAGAGTTCGAGGCCATTCTCAATGTTGTGGATCCGAATCGTGATGGACATGTTTCATTGCAGGAATACATAGCATTTATGATTTCTAAGGAAACAGAGAATGTGCAATCCTACGAAGAAATCGAGAATGCTTTCCGCGCAATCACTGCCTCCGACCGCCCCTACGTAACAAAGGAAGAGCTTTACTGCGTAAGTACATACTATTCATTTAACAGAATTCGCAATGATGTATTAAACTTTGTTGTATGTAGAACCTAACCAAGGACATGGCGGACTATTGTGTGCAGCGTATGAAACCCTATGTGGAACCCCGTTCAGGCCAATCAATAAAGGACGCTCTCGACTATATCGAGTTTACGAGAACACTTTTTCAAAATTAAATGAAGAGTTATATTAAAAATTTAAATATTTCCCCTAACACCAAATCAAAATATTTCCCCAATCCTTGGATAGTATAGATGTAAGCATTATTCACTCCTTGTACTAAAGTTTCGCTTACAAAGGTAAAGACAAACGGCGAAATACAAGACATGAAGATTTTTGTATCCCCACATAACTACATAAATATATCCGTATGTTAATCATATTTACGAATCACTTTCAAGTAGCAGTGAAAACATTTGCAGTGTTAATATCTCGTAAAACGACTCTATTATCTTTTATGCCACTTTAAAGCGAGAATATCAATACAATATACGTTATGTACGCATGCACAGATACGAAACAAACCAGTTTTTTATTATCCTTCTAT